GGGCTCTCCGCTTCTTCCTGGAGCAAAGACCTGAACCATCCCCACCTACCACCACCCTCCTCCGCTTGGCTGAGCTTATCCTCACCCTCAACAACTTCTCTTTCAACTCCTCTCATTTTCTTCAGGTAAGAGGGGTTGCCATGGGTACCCGCATGGGCCCTTGTTATGCCTGTCTCTTCGCGGAGTACGTGGAACATTCCTTGTTCCAGTCCTATTCCGGCCCCCACCCACAACTCTTTCTCCGATACATCGATGATATCATCGGTGCTGCTTCCCTCTCTAGTCCGGAATTGGAAAACTTCATCAATTTAGCCTCCAATTTCCACCCTGCCCTCACTTTCACCTGGTCTATCTCTGACTTCTCCCTTCCCTTCCTCGACATTTCTGTTTCCAGTTCTGGGGTTAGACTCATATCCATTACAAACCCACCAACTCCCGCAGCTACCTGGACTATACAGCCTCACACCCCACTTCCTGTAAAGACTCCATCCCATTCTCTCAGTTCCTCCGTCTCCGTCGCATATGTTCAGATGAGGCCAACTTCGACAAGGGAGCCTCCGAAATGTCCACCTTCCTCAACCGAGGATTCCCCAGCTCTGTTGTCGACAGGGCCCTCAATCGGGTCTGACCCATCTCCCGCACGTCTGCCCTCACCCCTTCTCTTCCCTCGCGGAACAGTGATAGGATTCTCCTTATCCTCACCTACCATCCCACCAGCATCCACATCCAGAAGATCATCAGACGCCATTTCCGCCACCTCCAGCAACATGCCACCACCAGACACACATTCCCCTCCTCTCCCTTGTCCACCTTCCGCAGGGACCGTTCCCTCTGGGACACCCTGGTCCACACTTCCTTCACCCTAACACCTCCCCACAGCCCTACGGCACGATCCCCTGTAACCGGCGAAGGTGCAACACCTGCCCATTTACCTCCTCCCTCCCCAGTATCCAAGGGCCCAAACATACCTTCCAGGTGAAGCAACACTTCACCTGCACTTCCAAGAATCTAGTCTACTGCATTCGCTGCTCACAATGTGGTCTCCTCTACATTGGGGAAACGAAGCGTAGACTTGGCGACCGCTTCGCAGAACATCTACGTTCTGCTTGCAAAAAAGACCCTGAACTACCTGTTGCCTGCCACTTCAATGCACCACCCTGCTCCCTGACCAACATCTCTGACTCTGGCTTGCTGCAGTGTTCCAGTGAAGCCCAACGCAACCTGGAGGAACAACACCTCATTTTCTGCTTGGGGACCCTACAACCCTCCGGACTCCATATTGAGTTCAATAATTTTAGGGCCTAAACTCTCCCATGTCCCAGCCTCCCACCCCACACACCAGGCCTTGTTACCACATAGCCTGCCACTACACACCCCCTGTTGTTAGTCACTAACAGTCCCCACTAACAACTATTCACCCTCCCAGCCTGATCGTTAGCAACTCCTTTGTCTGTCCAACTGTCTCTCTCTCTCTTTGGGCTCTATCCTATCGTTTACTCCCTACCCCACCCACCTCCCTATTTTCTGCATATAAACTGACGTTTTCCCAGCCACCATCAGTTCTGAGGAAGGGTCACCGGACCCGAAACGTTAACTCTGTTTTCTCCTCCACAGATGCTGCCAGACCTGCTGAGCTTTTCCAGCAGCTTTGTTTTTGTTCCTGATTTACAGCATCCGCAGTTCTTTTGGTTTTTAGTTGACATCATAGAACTCAGTTTAGACCATTTGTAATATTGTACACTGCTCAGTCCACCCTCACCCTTCCCTGCACCACTCGTGAAAGACAAGGCACCAGTCTGGAAAAGGTGCAAAAAGACTTTCAAGCATGATAACAGAAATGAAAGTTTACGACTACAGTCTCCAGAATTTATCAAGAATTCTCATGTTACTAACAAGAGCACAATTCCTTGCTCTGGGAACTGATCATTTGTTTGCCTCTCTCTGTCTCTTTTTCATCAAATCTCGTTGACAGTATTCATTCAACTGGCACATTGATATATCTGACACCGACTCCATTCTCTGTGTGCGCCAGATCAAAAAGAGTTTACTGTGCTGGGAAAGGCTGACCATGTGAGTTTCTCTCTGGAAATGAGAAACTGAGGAATGACTTAAGAGGAGGCTGAGTAAAAGATCAAAGGGTTTGAAAGGGTAAACATGGGGAGAAACTAGGAGGATCAAGTCATTAAATCCAACAGTCTATTTCAGAGAAACATCTTTACTCACAGATTGATTATGATGTGGAAAAAACCTGTAATCGTGAGTTATGTGGATGCACGTGAAAGACAAATTACATTAGCAGATGAAAGAGAAAGGAATGGAAGAGTAAGTTGACAGCATCAGGTCAAGTGGAACGGAAAGGTGGGCAGGGGTGTCACTCTTGTGGAGCAAAAGCACCAGCTGGGCAAACAGCCTGTTTTTAACTGTAGTTCCAGGAAGGAACTGAGCATAATGGATTAAGTTATTCCTTAAACTGTCCATCGAAAAGTTATGGACATACAATAAAGTTATAAGTCGAAAGAATTGTTAGTCAACATGTACATTTGATACAAGGCCCCAGTCATTCATATTGCCATGGAGATGGGCTTTGAGAGAGGAAAGATTTCCAATACATATCCCAGAAAACTGGTCTCTCCGAGGGTCTTGCAATAAAACTTTTAGATAATCTGCCAAATTTTGGGAGAGAGAGCAAATAGAAATTGAAAGGTTCATGAAACAGCAGTACAACAAGGAGTTCGCATCTGGAAAGAACAAATTTATTAGGATTTGAAACATGGTTGGAGGATGTGTGTAACTTTGAGATAATTCTAAGCTTAAGAGCTGCCACATTGCAAAAGAAATTGAAGTAAACCCTTAGAAAATAGGAATCTCTTTGACTGGGTCCAAGAAAATCAAATGATTATTTTTGGGTCAATATTAGGTAACTGCTAGAGCTAATGAGGGGAGCCCATGGATGTGGTTTCTTTGAAATTTTACAAGGCTTTTGACCAAGTCGCACATCTGAGATCAGCATGCAAGATTGAAGTGCATGGGACTGGGGGTACTGTGTTGAAATGGATAGAAAACTGGGTGACAGGCAGGAAACAAAGAATAGGAATAAATGTGTCTCTTTATAAATGGCAGGCGGTGTCGTGTGAGATGCTTTATATACTACGCTGAAATGTCAAGTGGGTTTTTAGGTTGTGCAAAAAGTTAAAAACGAAAATACTTTCTTCTCGTTTAAAGTGCAAGGTGCTGATCCAAAAATACTTCAGTCTGCTTGTTTAATGAAACTTTGTCATGTCATCCTCTGAGCTATCAACTGGAAGACGGAATTTTACGTTACTAATTTTGATAGAGATTGTCGTAAGAAGCTATCTTACAAAAAAAAAATCTTTATATGGCTTGAATCAAGGTTCCAATCTTAATAAAGCAACGATTGTGCGTTTGTGATTTTGAGGGTCATAATTGGCTCAAGTTACACTTCTATCTTAATAAATTCCAAAGGTAAAGTTTTGGCCTTGGTTTTTATACAAGTTTGAACAGAAGCTAAAAACATGACAAAATTGGCTCTCGGAGAATAATCATCAAACACAGTTCAAACATACATCCTTTGGGACAGTTGAATAAAAGTGTAGGTCAACAGCACACCTGTATATGCTCGGTCTAACTCTGAACGAAGTTGATCACGCAAAAAAGACTGAGCTTTTACCCATGAATCAACTTACAGTGCAAGGTGGAATTGATATGCTTTTGCACATCTTATTTGAAAAGCCTTAGTTGTTTGAAAGTTAACACTTCCAACATGAACACCATACCTATTTCCAGTCACAATATCAAAAGCGGAAAGGGACTAACTCAGCCAAAAATATATAGAATGACTGGTTTTGCATAATGTCAGTGTAATGTATAATGCTTCTATAATGTAGAATGACAATAATGCTTTTGCTCCCCAAGTAGATAACCTCTCATTTATCCACATTATACTCCACCTACCACGCATTTGCCCATTCACTTAGTTTGCCCAAATCAAACTACAACATCTCTGCACACGCCTCACAGCTCATTCTTCTACCCAGCTTTATCTCATCTGCAAATCTAGAGATCTTACATTTTGATCCCTTAACTAAATCATTCATATATATTGTGAGTAGCTAAGGTCCCAGCACTGTTCTTTGCAGTACCTCACTAGTCACTGCCTGCCATTTATAAAGAAACCTATTTATTGCTATCCTTTGTTTCCTGCCTGCCACCCAGTTTTCTAATCGATTTCAACACACTACCCCCAATCCCACGCACTTCAATCTTGCATGCTGATCTCAGATGTGAGACTTTGTCAAAAGCCTTCTGAAATTCCAAAGAAACCACATTCATGGGCTCCCTTCATCAACTCTAGGTGTTACAAACTGGAAGAATTCCAGTAGATTTGTGAAGCACAAGTTCCCTTTCATAAAACCATGTGGAGTCTGTCCAATCCAGTCACTGTTTTCCAAGTGCTCATCTACTAAACCTTATATAATAGACTCTAGCATTTTCCCCGCTACTGACATCGGGCTTACTGGTCTATAATTCACGGTTTTCTCCCTGCATCCTTTTTTCAATAGCGGTGTTACAATGACTACCCTACAATTTGTAGCAATTGTTCCAGAGTTGAAGTCTCAGTCCAAGATAACAATGGGAACGAAGACAAAATCAAATGGGTTTAAGTGTTATTTGATTTCCTCTGCTGCTCTCGTCCTCGAACAGTTTAAATTAGCACAAACATTGATTTAACTCTCAATTTCAAATACAAACCCTAATTCAGGCCCATTGTTCCCAAAGATCAATTATTCAATCATTCAATTTCACATGTTCAATTAGTCATTAAATGAGAATGTCACTGTACCTGACGAGTTCCTTGATCTTTTTCTCTCTTTTTCCTCAGGTTCTTGCTCTTGTGATGAAGCTGCATGAGAAGATTCTGGTGCCTCCCTCAAACCAGGGACAGGACTGCTGGATTTAAAAGTCATTTTGTGAGGAGGTTCCACTGGACTTTCAGGTCCAGAGCCAGAACCAATCATCCCTTCAGAAGAAGATGACCTTTGCCTCTTTCTCTGAAGACTGGTTTGTTCCTTTCCATCTGCACTGTCCAAAAGGGGACTCTGCTGTCTTTGACTGGATATGTGTGGACTCTGGATATTTGAATTTCCTACCTCAGAGCTCTCAATGGTTTGCAGGCTCTTGTCATCTGTTGGGTCAGATGACAAAGTGCTATCTGGTTCCTTATTTTCAGTACTGATTTTCTGACAGCTCCTTTCATCTATTATTTCTGTATCTGACAGAGACTTGTTTTTTTCAGAACTAGGTGTAACCCTAGCTGGTGAAGATTGTGGGGAGCCCAGATCAGTTTTATCATCAGGTTTCTTTTCACTTGAAGATACTTCATCAGCACTGTGCATTTCTTTAGCAGATACCAAAGTTCCATATATTGTATCACATGTATTTAGACATTGGGATTGCTCTTCCAAAGGGCTATGACTTCGAGATGGTATCCTGCCAGTACTATCTGGAAGACAAAGCATCCTTTTTTCATTTGATGATTCTAAATCTTGAAACCGCTGCTCTTCTTTTCCATCTTGACTTCTTCTCTCATGATTTGCATTTGTGTGCAGAGGTATACTCTCACAATTACTTCCTTTTTCATTTTGGTGCAATGACATACATGGCTCTGAATCAGACCCTGGTTTATCATTATTTTCTTCTTCACTGGATGTCGAAGATGATGATGTGGATGATGAAGATGATGAAGAAGAGCTCGTGGAGGATGACGAAGAGGACGACGATGACGATGACGACGATGAACTGGATGATCTTCGTCTTGAGCTTTTAGAGGAGTTTCTACTCCTATCGTTTTTACTGTTCTCCAAGTTAGGATCGTGACATTTTGATTCACTATTACTGATATTTGTAGACAAATCTTTCCCAGAACTTGTGGCAGAGCAGGACAGAGTAGTTTTCCTTGTGGAATGAATACTTTCAGGCTGATTTTCTTTTCCTGGATCAGGGTTTGGTTTTCCGTGATCTTCTCCCTGCGCTGTAAAGGTTTTACTTTCTTCTAGACTATCTGGCAGAACAGTTCTGTTGTTTTTAAAATCAGTAATTTCATTGTGGGATGATCTGGGACTTCCAGACTCTGACTTTTGCGTTTCTTTTACGCTTGAACAGGGTGACCCATCCTTTTTTTGTTGTTGCTCATGAGGAGTACATTCACGCTCATCAGCTCGACTTTTTGAAGAGGGACTTGGAGATTTTTGCTTTGTACTTTCAGGGCTATTATTTCTGGAATCTGTTGCAGAGTGCACTGCAGTTTGTGGTTGTTTTTTACAACTTGACAATCGAGTGCTTGGTTCATGGCTGTCTGGACTTTGAGAAGCATTCCCACTTCCTTGTGTAACAATACATTCTTCTTTGCTTCTCCCAGAGTCTGATTCAACTAATCTACTATATTTTTGGGAGTCACGTCTAACATTTGAACAATGTGAATCAGGATACTTTGAAATTTTGAAATCCTCTTCGGGAGGGCTACGAGATGAGCTATCCGATTTTCGACTTCTGCTATCTCTGCTTTTCTCTTTTGATTCGACACTAGAATGGAACCGTCTTGACCTTGGAGAGCTATAGTTTCTCGCTTGGCCTCGATGTGTACTTTCTTCTACTTGCGAAGAACTCTTGTTACTTGTTGAACGAGTGTCCTTCAGTATTCTTTTGTCCCGACTCTCTGGGCTTCTTCTGTAGCTATCAGATTTCTCTGATCTATTAAATTTTGAAGTTGTACTCTCCTTCCTTGATGACCGATAAGGACTTCTGGAGCTGGACCTGTATTCCCTTCTTTGATGTCTGGGAGAAGGACTACTAGATTTTCTTTTGGACCTTCTATTCCTATCATCCCCAATTTTGCTCCTTGAATCTGGACTGTATCTTCGCCTTACCTCCTGAGGACTATGGCTTCTTGAAGGTTCTTTCCAAGAACTTTCTGGAGAACGTCGTCTTTTATCATTCTCTGGTCGTCTTTCCTTTGACCAGCTCAACTGTTTGAGATTTGAGCTTCTCTCTTCTCTGATGGTCGGCTTTTCATCCCTTCTTTCACGCTCCGATACTCTCGCTCGATGGTCCCCATGTGAAAAAGTTCTGTCTCTTCTTTCCAAGTGCCTTTCCTCTTTTCTCCGGCTGGCATTCCTTGGTGATCTACCTCTTTTGTCCTGAGGACTTGAAGAGGAACTCCTGCTACTACTATCACTACTGCTGCTACTACTGCTGCTGCTGCTTCCACTTGAACTGCTTGAACTGCTGCTGGAAGAGCTGTTACTGCTGTCACTGCTGCTACTGGATGAGCTGGAATCACTGTCACTGCTACTGTCCCTGGGGAGAGAAAAGAGAGTTCCATAAAATACTCGCAATAACTTTTGTAGAATACAAATCCTGGCAAAACTAACACATTTCTTTCTTGAGATCAACTTTTTGTTTTGGACATGGTATATTAGCGTTATATTCTGGTTAACTGAATCATGATCAGATGGACAATAAAGCTCTAATTATTTAATGAAGTGTCATATTCATAGCCTCAGTTCTGAACGCATTCAATGCAAACAGTTAATGTATAAATCCACCATAACGTGAAACCTTTGAGAATTCAGCACTTTACTACATAAAAGGAGGTTTTCATCCAGATTGATCTTTACAGCTTTTGTCTTTGAGATTACCTGGATATTCATAATTTAAACAAAATTCGAAACAATTATGACTGAGGTACAGCAGAATGACAAACAATTAGGTGACCTGCTCAAATTGGTTTTATATACAATTGTCAGAGTAAGACAGCAAAACAGAATTCATTACATCAACGAGAACACCATGGTAACTTAACTCAGGATAACATACTCACCTGCCATCCAGTCTCCTCCATTGAACATTAGATATGCATCCTGGGACCAGGTGGACAAGCATAGCAAAAGCAAATTCGAGGTGAATAACTTCTTTTAGCCTAGCATTTACTTTGTGTATGAAAATCTTTACAAGAAAAATATATTTGTTTCCATGCTAAAACACAGTTGGACAGATTACAACCTCAAATTCAGGGACTTTCCAATAAATGAACTACTCAATGTAACATAACTTGTGGTGGGATCATGAGATATCATTTAGTACCCATATACATCCACGAGAGTGATTATGAGTTTCTTTTGAACTATAAAATGCAAAGGCTGTCTTGTATTTGGACTTATGACACAAGACTGAACTGCTATTACACAATGACTGCATGTGAATTGCAAAACAAAAAAAAAAGGTCAAAGCAAAGATCTGTGTAAAAATATGTATGTAATCAAACAACAAGCAGATCAAACCATACTTTTTCCAGGGCATCTTTTCTCATATCTGGAATAAAACAATGATTTTTATGTACAAAAATTTAGCAACTTCACTCAGTGGCAGCATTCTTGCCTTCAAGACCAAAACCTGTGTGTTCAAATCCCATTAAAACTTCAGCACATAATCTAGATTGACAGTTTAGTGCAGTACTGCAGGCACACTGCATTGTCACAGTCATCATCTTTCTAAAAAAAGGACGAACTGAGGTACTGTCCACATATTCAGGCACTACCGAAAGTGCATAACCGGTTCTCTTGCGTCCTGCCTGGCTAACATCAATTCAATCATACAATACCCAAAGCAGACTAATTGAACGCTTTGTCCAATCCTGATTGTGGCAATCTGCACTGCACGTCTGCCTTAATGGAAACAGAGAAACTAAACCAAGCAAGTCATTCATTTGCAGGAAAGCACGACAATCTTCAATATACTGAGAACTATCACTGCACTACATAAACGATATATTTCCTTGTCTAAAAACGTACTTATAGTCATCTTAATTTTTTTTAAACTCAGAAACAAGTTTACACTGTATGCTTTAACTTGAACCGAAACCATCCATTTATTTTCTCCCAAGACAACCGCGGCATAGCTTGCAAATCTAGTACATGGATTGGGAAGTGATGAGGGGAGGGAATCACTTTCTTCCAAAGTTGGTGTCCTTGTAGGAAACACAATACAACTATTCACATTAAATGCCAACAATGAACAGAATCAACACTACTACAAGTTTACTGATCTACATACACCTCCATGCAAAAATCCTAACATACAGTATACCCAAACAATTAAAATTATTGGTAGATCAAGAAAAATTACTGACGTACTTTACTGAATAAAAATCACCCAGTGAGGCCAATAAATGCATATGTAAACAATGTATTGTGAATTTGCTTTTATATCCAAAGTGGTAACACAGCACCACCATCAGGTTCCAAGGAGGCAGGGAAACAGAAACAAAACAATCAGATTCTAAAGTGAATTTTTCACTTTCAGCACTGGAGACTGTTGGCATAAGTAAATTTAGAGAATGGAGGGAGTGATAATATCTTGAAGAATGACTCCGAGAACATGGGACCAATGGAGAAGGGACTGCATCTGAAGGAATAGTGAAGAATTGAAAAGCTGTTATTGGGGACTTCACAGTTAGGTGGACAGATGATACAAATATTAAAGAAATGTCCATTCCAAAAAGCTTGGGGCTTTGGTAGCACAGTGGGTAGTTTCCTTATCTCTGGGCCAGAATGGGTTCAAGTCCCACCCACTCCACTGGTGGATCATGACATTTCTAAACAAATTGATTAAAACTACTAGAACCCTGCATGGCATGTTACCTCCCTGATGCCAGGATAAAAACTATTGCAATTAAGGTTCAGATACTTTTGCTTGAGGAAAAGAACTGACGTAAAGGTTCTGGCACACATCAGTACTGATTTAAGATATTCATTTTTTATGGTTAGATTTCAGGAACTCAGGAACTTAAAAAGTCAGGACCACAAAAAGGTCATCGTCTCTGGATTACTCCCATCGTCATGCACGAGTGAAAGTAGAAGCAGAAAATCAGACTGCATCAAATCATAACTCAAGGCATGATGTGCTATGTGTACATGGACACATTGGGGGAGGTGTGGTATAGGTTCTTTGGCATTGGGGCCTTACCTATACAGATAGTTTCACCTCCACAGGGCTGAAATTCATGCTGCCATGGGGAGATTCATTAATGCAGCTGGAAAGGGTTAAAATTGTCTTGGAGGTGGGCATGAACATTGAGAAGCAGAAAAGAGAAATAAAGCGTATAAACATGCAACAGCATTGGATAGTTGTAGTCAAGATACAGTCATATTTTCGACAGAAAGAGACCACGAAGGACGATGAAGAACACAAGGAAAGGTGACGAATACATGTAAGTGAGTGCACAAAGTCTGGTGAACAACATTGATAATTATGGTGTTACAAAGCGGAGATCTGTCCCCCTCTGCTAACTAAAACCGAAACATCCCGAGAAGCTCGCCTTGCCTTGCTGTCTGTTGAAGGAAGCGTGAAAAGTGGTATAACCTGCCTCTCACTCCCGCAATTTGTTATAAAGGAGCGGTTACATGAAAGAAATCCCTGCTACTCACTTCACAATCAACAAATAACAATTTATTTATCTAACTCCAACAGTAAACAAATTAACAAAACGACTAACAAACCAAACAATTCCCCCTTAACTGCCGACTATTCCCGAATAAAACCAAATTTTAATGGTATGCTGTTCCAATAAATAAAAGTCCCACTTATATAAACCAAAGTAATAACAAAAATAAATTAAAATTAACTCTCTCAAAAATTACAGCCAGGATAAGTCTTCTGGAATGTTCTTTGCCTTCTCCGCTGTTCTCCAGTCAGGAACACCTTTCTCCGTCAAATTCTTGTGTCAGGAATATTAGCTAAGAGTGTCATAGTACCTTTATTTAGATGGTACTTACTCTGAGAGCCAGTGAGTTTCTCTTCAGATTGCAGTTTGCTCTCACACCAATTTTCAAATGCCCTCTTCTTTTATACCCTCGATGACCTATTAATTTCTTACAATAGGATTGGTCCTAGGTTACCAAAACCTAAGACCAATTGGTTTTTAGTTTTAAAGTGCCTGGTAAAAATTAATTGGCTGATATTCAAATTGGTTGCCTTGTTAACAAAAGACGACTACTGCCTGGGTTTCTAACCATAAGCCTTTTGATACAATGTTTCAATTTCAGGAGCTCTCTGTGAACCTGTAAATTTATTAAAAATCTCCAAGCTTAGAAAACAAAATCATCTTTTAAAGGGACCGTGTACTCTTACCCCCCTCATTATATAAACATCAATATTTTTAAAAGCACCAAAATCTAACATCCTGCCCAATCCACATGTATTTTACCTACCTTCGCAACAATGATGCAGTAGTGTTTGTGGATATGAGAGTTAACATTGGTGAGGACTAGCACTTGGTATTCAGGAATACAAAGTGCCCAAAGAGGTTAAGGAAGGATGTCAGTATCAATGAGTATTGGTAACACACTTCCCTCTCTTCCTTTCCTATCTTTTTCCGGGGGGGGGGGGAACAATGTCATTTTATCATCAGTAACAGCACCAGGGTAGAAGGTCAACAAGCACTTGGAGAGGTCTGAATCTATTAAGCATTAACAGCACAGCTTGAAAATGGCAGACTGTTCTTCAATAATCTAATGTAATTTTTTTGGTGAAATAACATAGAATGTTGGTGAAAAAATGCAGTGACTACATGGATTTGAAACAAACTGAAATATAAAAAAGATAAGTTAACAAAATTGTGACTAGTGAAATCGGAGTGTCAATTTTAACTTGGATAAGAAAAGCAGGCTTACTGACAGAAAGCAGCAACCATAATAGATATTTTGGAGCTCCAAAAGGCTCCCTGCCAGGATTATGGTTTTTAAGTGATGTAGGTTGTGGGATTTATACAGTCGATTCTGCTGTAATGCGCGTTCTGTCAACGCAAATTGTAATGCGATTGATGAACGCGGAATGCTATGTCTAAAATGTAAACTTGTGTTGGCTATAACAGAAATCTATCGGTGCGCGAAGTACGCACTGACATCACCTGATCATTTCACAGGCTTTGTCGTGAATACTTACAATGTCTCCGCAACAGCATCACATGATCATTTTTGTGGGCTTGGTCGTGAAGTGTTTTCTGAGAGGTACAGTGCAACCACCTCCCTCATCAAGTCATCTTCACATTATTTCAAAGTAAAATGTTAAACTTACTTTTATTTTATTATTAGATACGAATTAAACATTTATTCAAATTGTGCCTCCTTTGGGTTGGGCTTTTGAGTGATTTTTTTTCCGGTGATCTTTCCTAACCCCACTTTTCCCGTAGGACCTATTATTTCTATAGTGCAATTTTCAAAAATGCAATGTTGCACAGGAACACAACTATCGCATCAAAACAGAACCCACCGTATATGTGTAACTGTACATTTCAAAGT